TACACACCATATTCCACAATAACTCGTAGGAGGAACGACGAGGATAGGGAAAATTGCAATTAGTCAGACTCAATCGTCGGCTTTCTGATTTCACGGATTCAATATCAAGCTAAGGTCGAAGCGAGTCGCCGGTCTCGCTGGCCTCATAGCGTTTAATAAAATATATCTCGATATAAGCGGAAAAGAGTGACTGAATAATTAATCTGGAGTGACGTAAAGACTTGCCGGTGTCACAAAAAAACTACTGAAATAGTTGGATCTCAATCTCTCAATTTCTCAATCTCACAGGCGTAGAGTTTTCATTACAGTCGAGCATTATGATCTAACTTATCGTACTTTGTAAATTTATTTATAAAATATATAGACAATAAATAAATATGTGTGTATTTTTCTTTATTTATTTATTTATAATTTTTTTTCTTTTTTTGCATTTCTCTCTATTTAAATGTTGATGGGATTTTCTAGAAAGGCTATGACTTCAGCCCTATTACGTCCCATTTAATCGCCTTTTATATGGCACTATACTGGATATTTGCTTTTGACGTTACGTTCACATGCAGTGTACTCTACACAACTTCTATAAAATCGAGAGTTTCTGTTCTTACATTCAATGTAACTAACCTTGAGAACGGTACGAGTAATTGAGTACATGTTTGGGAAACATATGCCCGTCTTTGTTAATTATAAACGGTAGGGAATACTAATTTGTTTATTTCGCTTGTAATACTCGAAAAGAGCCCATACATGTAATGTAAAACGTACCACCTAAAAGTATGTTATAACACTGAGAGCAAAACATAAGGTAAGCTTTTCATTTAAAATTCACGAGACTACAAAATCAGGAGATTTTTTTTCGTTTTTTGGTTATGGGCTGTGGTACTGCACTTGACATCTATGTAGAGTTTCATGCCAACATATTTGATTGCTGCACAGTGCAGAGTTTTCACAAACACATAAGAGCGAACAATTTCGAGTTTTACTACATCCATCGTAAATGATTTCTGGCAACACAATTTCAATCGATATGATCCCACAAACCGTGTGGATGGCCGTGTTCGGCTTAGTTGGCTTCGCGTGACTTCTGGCTTTTGTGCAAATACAGAAAACGGCTACGGGGATATCAAATTCCAATCGATTGAAGAGTGAAAGCCCAACCGAAAAATGGATTTATTTGATAAAAATAAACAATAGTAACTCACTAACTGGTGAAGATGTTGAATTTCATATTTTTATTCAATAAAGTGACTTAACTGCTGCTGTTTTGCTAAATTCTAGAAGAAGAGGAAGATATTTACTTATTTTTGTTTATATACTTTTATTATTTATTTTATATAGTTAGTAACAGTTAGTAACGACATAGGCAAATCGTAGCTATTAACCAAAGTTGTTTTGATAGACTTTAAAGAATCCGATATTGAGGTGAAGTGATAAACGTCATTTATGTTTCTGTAAACAACTCTGGGTTAAAAAGCGGTTAAAGACATTAAAGCTTATCTCACCAAATATTGTGGACAAGTCAGACAGAAAGAAACTTCAGGAGTAAATGTACGTTTCTCAACTGATAGTAAGGGTAACAGAAACAACATATTTTCGTAAAGAGCAAGACAGACAAGCAGATACCAACCCATATTCCTAACGGCAAACAGCAAAAATTGCTTTTGAACGGATTGAATTGAATCTACATAGCACCTATAGGAAGGAGATCGCACAACAGAGGCATTCTCAAGTATTGATATAACTAAGCGCTTGTGCAGACTTTTTGTAACGTAAGGATTCTTCAGATCTTTGAACCACCTCTCAATGAAACCAAGCGCGGACCTACTTCAAGAGAGCTCAATATACAAATTAAAACGTAATCTCTGGTTGAATAGAATAGAATAGAATCGATGGAAGAACCAATGTCTTCCAATTTGTGTGAATCAATGAAATACTCGGTAATGAATGACTTGCTTCTTAAGAAAGCATTTCATAAAGAGTAATGAGTAATGAGCACCATGTAACGAAATTAATTAAGTCAATTTCAGCTCAAGCACAAAGTTTTTCAAAGGAGTAGCGTTTTTCTGTCGTTAGGTTGGCAACGCCATAACTAATGTTTGTTTCATATCTCACGCCAATAATTTCACTTCTATTCGTCATTTCACGTTGCGCACAGTGTCTATATATGCTATTCATGATCGCAGGGTTTTTGATAATTTGCACTCACGCAATTGGGGGGCTTGCACCGCAATTTGCTCTTTCCTTAAAGCTTACCATCAGAATGTACTGCCAACTGTGAATCTACTCGCATCCACTTTACTTACTCTTTTGGTTCCGCAACATTTCAGCACTTTCGTAAGATAGCTATATATGGACACTTATACTTCGTTACATCTCACACTACGAAACTCACTTCACTTTACTTCACAAAACAAATAAAATTCGAGAGCATATGACACCACAAGTGGAGAGAATAATGCAAGACGAGAAAATTAATGGAAGCTTGGGAAAAATAATTTCCCGCAAAATGATTATAGTTACCTGTCGGACGTCATAACACACAAAATATGTATATATATATATATATATATACGTACGTATGTATAATATATAAATATATGCAAATATGTATGTATATATATAATCAAGTTAAACGCCCTCTTTATTAAGATTCAAACAAGGGACTTCATAATGCCATTGAATCGTTTTTACTCATCTGTTGTAGATTTACTGACTCAGAGAGAAAGACGACGAATTTCAGTAATCATCAGTACTCGTAACAAATTCTCCGAAACTTGTAGGGATATATTTATATATGCGCATCATTCCCGTTTCTAATGATACGCTAAAATTCCCCTATCCTCTATCCATTAACACATATTATGTTTTCTTCATTCATTTCATTGAAAATTATTACGCAATCACTGATGCAAATTGCTGTTGAAAAAGTAAAGATAGCAATAACAATAACGTCTCGTTTGGTAGAAAATATTTTTTTTTTTTCATAAAAATATATAAATTTTTTCTCGGTGTCAAGCGAAATGTAAACAAATTTTTTTTTGGTTGAAAAATCATAGAATAGCAACCATTGACTTAAAATGTAGTTTGTTAGTCATCGTTAGATTAAGATTATTTCTGATTCAAAAAAAAAAAAAGGTATAGATAATGATCGGTTTCTAGAGATGAAGAGATTTTGTTTATCATTTGATTATTTCATCTCAAGTTCTCTTTTCGTTGCAACAAGATAAACAACACTTTAAAAACCATTATTGGTTTCACTGTCAAATAAATTTGCGTATCTGGGCGTACGGGTAAAATTGAAAGCGTTTTAAAGGTACAAGTTCAGCCTAGCGGTCAATAAATGCATTTACGTTTTCGTATTCGTAACATATAGCTGGAAGCCCTAGCATCGCTAACCGACCATACATTTATTTGGTTTTCAGAGAGCGTCAAGGCCAACGATGAACCGTTTCTCAAAATCATCTCAAATCTTTTTAATTGTCATACAAAACATTGCGGAGACATATACAATTTTACTTGTCTTGGCGTGTAGCGATAGTTTATAGAGCGTGCCCACTGTTGAAGATTTCGTAATTGAATTGATAGTACCTACGTATGTATTCAATACGCAATTGTCGAAACAATTTTAGGACGGCGTAGACGACACCAGACAAACCGACAACAAAACTTTTTGTATGAATTTCTTCTTTCTTGCAAGCAATATTTCCGCGTTTGCCCAAAGCTGTTGTTCTTTTTTTGTTAGCTTTCTATTCAAAAATCTATTTCGTATTCAGACAGGTGAAGACATTAGAGTTCGACAAATCCTACCTTTTGACACTCTACATCATTTCGACTAGCACAGTTATTCACTAGTTTTGTTGACAGTACATCAAAAATTATGCATTATTTTCATATAAAGGCATATTTTTCATAAAAACTCGCTTATTGGAGCATGAACCAAACATCATCACATAACGTGATGCAAGCTTAGCAACCTCAATTTACTTCCCAATATCGCATTATTTTTCAGTTAGACTTACTCGCCATATAACGGCTTGCTCTTCAAGACAACCCTCGTATATGATGGTGGGTTCTGAAACACAGACGTATGTGATCCAAATTTCTTAGGATTAATTTTTGCTAAATGTGCTGCTGCGGACAAATTGTCATAAAACATAACAAATATCAACAATTGAAGACTTTTAGCGTAAAAAGCTTTGCGTTTCAAGACAATCCTCATATGTGATGAGATCCAAAAAATGGTTATTCGTGCTCCAAATTCGGTAAAATTGATTTCTATGTTTAATAACTATTACGGTTCAATTTTCACAATGAAACGGTGAAAAAAAAACCTTCTTACCACAAAAAGAATTAGTTTTGTTAGGAATGGTTACAAGGGAAGAGGTTTGAAATATTGCATTGCACTACTATTATGCCGCGATTTTTTCCATAATGGTTTAAATGTTCAATTTTTTGTGGAGTGGTTGAAAACCCGCTCTAAACTATTTCCAATAGGATCCGTTCTTGGACCAAAGTACGTCAGTGTATCAAATTTCAACAAAATAGTTCAAAAGTGCCGACCTATAGGCTGAACATAAACTCCCATGGACAGACATCAGAGGGACACACAAGCTAGGGTCGATGCAGAAAGTGATTCTGAATCGATCGGAATACTCTAAAAGGTGGATCTATCTCAAGCCCGCTGCGTGTTACTTACGTTCGCGCAAAACTAATGTATCCTGTACCACAACTGCTGTAGGGTATAAAGAATCTACTCTCGTACACAAGCCAATACGGCAACAAAATTAGAAGAATAAGTCGTCTGGTGTTGTCCTTAAACGTAATGTAGAGAAGCTATTGAGGCGTGTGGGTTTCAACTAATAGGCGAGAAATATTTCAGAGAGGGAAAGGGCTCGAGAAACTGCAATAAATGTATTAACATAATCTCAAGTAATTACTTAGGCCAGAAATTAATTTTTTCTTACTTGTTTTTCTTAGACCTAATTTCGTTTCGGTTTACTTACCGGCACTAAAAATCTACGCACTTCGGCCAAAGCGTAGGCGATACGAGCATGAGCTTCGGCAGGAGCGGCAAAAGTTGATATTTCCACATGCAAGTCTTCGAATAGATGAGCGTAGCGGCTATCACCGCTCGCACGCATTTCTTCCTCTTTTTTGCGATCTCGCATTGAGCCACGCCCCAAAACGGCCATTTTGCACATAGTTTCCTCTTGCAAACGTTTCATTGAGTTGCCCTTAGGCCCCAGTAATTTTCCCACGAAATTAAACTGCGTTTAGTTGTGTATTCATCGTTTGTTAGTTTTTTTTTTGTTTTTTTTTGGATAAAATGAAAAATAACAACAAAGTATAGAGCATGTTTTTAGCGTAAGTAATTGGAGTAAATATACTTACCTTTGGATGATCACGTACTGGTACGGCTACCTTAACAGCTACCTTAACTGGTCTGTCTCTAGTTATATCCAGCATTTTAGATTTTTCTAAAAACAAAACGAAATAATAATAAACAGAATAGAATACAATAAACTTGGATATATACACATCTACCTACATAAGTGCATATACATATATATATATATATATATATATATATAATAAAAACAACTAATGGTTATGACACATATGCTCATATACATACCTATGTATGTATGTTAACTAAGTAATGTGTAAGTGAAATGTTTGTTTTTATTTCTGTATATTTTCTTTTTTCTTCTTCTCAGTGTGGCTGTTGCGAGCACTAACTGCTCGTGTACGTGGAAGCTTCAGATTATTTCTCTTTTTATGCATTCACAACTATTTCATTCACTAGAAACCAGTAACACCAGCCTGTGTGCCTGTACCTTTGTGCGTATGTGTAACTGGTTGTGTGTGTATATGAGTGCGGCTTTTTTTTTTTTTCTTGTGAATATGTATATATATATATATATATATATATTTATTTTTTTTTTTCTTCTTGTGAATATGCTTTTTGTGATATGAACGTAAGCATTTATTTTCCATTTGTGTAAATATGCATGCATGCATCTATACGTATGTATTTGTAGTGGTAACTACAGGATAAACAAGCTGAATAACAAGTAAAAGTAACGACAACTACAAAATTTCCACCTGAGAAATGCTGTTGGTTAACGGAAATATAAGCATTTGTTTAAGGTACAAATGCATAAATTTATCCTTTCTACCTTTCTATGCATGTAGGTATGTGCGGCATATCATCAGCCTAACTGCCTATCTATGCATGTTACATACATATATGTATACATATATATATATATATATCTATGCATATATATATATATATGTGAATATGTGCATGTGAGTTAAGTTGTAAAACACACTTTAGTTTCTCGGTTAGATGGTTTTGTCATGCTTATGTTTATAAGTAATTAAGCAAGTTCTATGAATAAGAAAATCTTTACATATACAACTACGTCACCTAACGTCGCCTACATGTCAAAGATATAAAATACGTAAATACCGCTTGCTTGTATATATATATATATATATATATATATATATAAAGAGAAAAAAATAAGGGAGTTCTAAGAGAGATATATACGTTTATGTATGCGAATGCACGTACGTATGGGTGTGTGTTTGCATGATTGCAAACATCAACTTAATGTTTTTAACTTTTTGTTGATTTTTCACTAAATTCTATGTTTTCCAGTCGAATATTATACGAAAACCGGAAGGACATATTCAAAGTTTACTCTAATGTTACTACGGATGCGAAACGAAAAAGTTATACTAATACTGAGTTAAAAGCAAATGAATTTTTAAGTAATTCTCACAAATCTTTTTTTAATGGAATACAGTTCTTAACCTATATATATATATCACAATCGAAAAACACAAAATAGTTTTTTAATTTAATAAAAATTAGTTAAAACGTTGCACTTGACCAAGACCGACTATCAACTACTCTACATTACTTTGCCTCTCATATAATTCTTCACGTGTCCCCGTAAAGCTATAAAAAACAAATCTTTTTTGTCGCATAAAAACTTACTGTAAAGAGAATTGCTGCTGTGGGAGAAAGTGGGGGGGGGGGGAAGAGGGTGGATGCAAAATCTTTCTAAAGAAAACTGACAGGTTAATTAGTCTTATGGACCAGTCATCTTCATATATAAATATTCAAAATAAGATCTTATCGCCTTAGTCCTACTCCTTTGGATAATAATTGGTAATGTGTGGGAAGTGATCTCCTTTGTACACAATTTTTCACATTCATTTAATAACTGAAAATTCTATTTATTATCAAGAAATATTGAATAGGGAATATATTTTATAACCGATACTTATGATGCGGAACTCAATGAATGTTCCCGGCGATTGGTTGTACCAACGCACAGATCAATAATTGGGTATTTTGCAAGCTAACAGCCTGTGGTTAGCTCCTCGATGCATTCATCATGGTTTCTATCTTTACGATAGCTTATCTTGTGGAGTTACTCAGACTAGGATACATCGATTTCTTTTAATGTAATTAGTATAACTTGTCCTTTCACTATTCGCTATCCTTATCTGTTTCCTGCGACCACCTAGTATGCTATACTCTGGTAACTTATATGGGCCGTTATGTAATCTTACTAACATTTTACTAAACATTTGAGCGCTTTTTCTCTAATGGTTTCACTTCATATTCTTTCTGCTATTGTAAACTTATATCCATAAGCTATCAAGCCATTGGATCATACCGCCTGCTCCCCGATCTCCCTATTAACTTAATCTACTCAAAATGCGTACAAATGCTTTAAAATTAAGTGTGAGGGCTGACGACTTTGCTCATCATACTATAAAATATTTATAAGAAAGAAACCCGCTAATCGAAAAGTGAGGTTGCGGGAGATAGGTGTCATCTCTTCAACATACGAAGAAGGCAGAGAGAACCAGTTTCTAAATGCCTCAATGGCTTAATTGTCAACCACAAGTTTCATATGGGATCAAATGATGAGATCAATTATGAAATCTTTATGGATCTTGAGAAACCATTCTATAGAACGGGGGCCGAAATATTAAGCAAGTTTTGGAACGATCAAGTCTAGCCCTTGAAACAGACTATGGTGTTAAATAGAGTCGAAAGAATTGTTTTTTTTGTACCTTGGTCTCGGGAATTACTGAACGATGAGTTATTATCACTATTATAATTTACATAATTTATATAGACCAAAGAAATAAATTGTAGGCGTAAAAGTAAGATGAGCACTAGCAACTAAGATCATGGGCTCGTCTTTTTTTTATTAAGGCAGATTAGATGGTTGGTTTAGCAGCTTAAATAAAGTCAAATATTTGATTGATATTAAGTCCCGTATGGTTAGATGCTCGAAAAATTTATCTTTGAACATTAGAATGGTTTTCAAGGCATTCAGAAAATGTGTGTGCAATCGTAAGATTTTTCCACGACATATATTTTAAGTGTATAGGTTTTTAAACACCAACGTAGAATTCTTATGGAAGACTTCTACAGACAAAATGAGGGTTGTAGAAAGTTTCTGAAAGAAATTTCCTTAAGCTATTCTCCTGACACTAGGCTGGTAGTAGAAAAATGTCATTTACTAGACCGGCTTATGTCAAACAGAATTTAATTGATTATCAGAATGGCAGTTGTAAACTCTGAGCACAGCGGGTTTTGCATTGATAGCTTCCCATTCGGTGGCGGTTCCAATTTCTAGTTTCTTCCACACTCCGTGAAAGTACTTGCTTCCAAAGCTTCGGCTTCGATTTTTCATGCGTCGAAGTAATCGTAATTGCTTAAGGCTTGATTTTTGGATTAGTGGCACTCATTATCTATGGAATTTAAATTTAAAATTTCCAGAGCACGGTGAAAACGAGCTGAGCCAATAACCAGTTATTTTCAGACATTTTTGTTAACAACTAACGGTATGTATATTTTGCTTTAGTTTATATGTAAACTGACCAGTTACAGCACTTGAATGTATGACAAAGTGTTTATTTCCATCTTATCTTATGATCTTATGACGATGTCCTCGGCTGCCTTTCATTTTATATCAGCTTGAAAGACCGTTTATATGGACTGGTACCGAATTGGTACTAAATTTCAAATAAATCAAAAGGGACACTGCGAACATAATCCCTGAACATAATTGATAGAATATAAATTTGAAACACAGTCCTAGTACGCCTATAGAACCGTTACATCAATTGTACGGTATAAATGTCTAAGATTAGAAGCCAAATGAAAATGCCCTCGGAATCGAAACGCGAAATATGAGATACGTTTTTCTCGAAACCACCTCATTCGAGCTTGCCATATCACTGGATCCTGCAATATAGTCCTGTTTGTCTGTTTAGGAATCTAGGAAGCTTTAAAATAAGTTTCTCTGGTGAAGATCTTGTCATAAGCTCTATGAATTAAAATACGTTGATTCTCTAGCCGATTTTCAGACGGTTTAAAGAAATAGGGATTCAAGTCTATGCATTAAAGTCCATTAAAATCATTTCTTCGAAAAGAAGATTTTTATCCGCTGTTCCAAGTTATGACTAGCAGAGGTACGCAGGAACAGACTTAGCAAAAAAAAAGATTGTGGTACTGTCCTTTAACTCCAATACTTATACATTCAAATCTTTTTTTACTCTGTCTCGTTTACACGTTTTTGAAATAACATGGTACACCAGTGAGAGAAAATACACTTTTTGTACACGAATTTTTTCTTTTAGCACGAATACAAAAAAATTTTTTTTTTTAAGTTCCAGCTTTGACAGCATGCCATAGAAACTTATGTAGACAGCAACAAAATAAAATTGGGGATACTGGGGACAGAAGTCAGCCGGTTTATGCCCATACATGTGTTAGTGACTTGCTCTTCTGCTACTTGGTCGTTAATAACGAACGAAATTTCTAACTTGAATCCAACCCGATAGTTGTGCTAGACATAGACGTACCCGCCATGTCTGTTGAGGATAGCTTTTTTGATCCAACTCATCATAAACGTTCACGCTTGTTATCAAATCGGGATGAATAGTTGGGAAATTGATTTTACTTCTAATTTCAATTCCAATTTGTATATGTTGTATCTACTTATGGACTGGTTTTTGGCTGTACACTACGCTGTACTAATTTTAATTTATTTTTTGTAATAAAAAGTGAGTGGGTTTTGTTTTCTAAATATGTAATATGCATTTCATTATTACTTTTTTTGCACGGTTTAAAGTTGTGGAATATATCGCCAAATTTAACATATGTCGCATGTATTTTTTTACACGATTTTTTTGAACGCATTTCAAAGAAACGCATCTACCGTGTAAAAAAAGAGCTGGGTCTATTTTCGTATCAAAAAACCCGAACCTCGTAGGTCTTAATTTTAATTATATAACTTGGGAAAATTTTTGTTTAGTACAAAATGGTATCTCTTAAGGTCTTTTCTCCTTTCGATAGTTAGCTTGACCAAGAAACGCCGTTAAACTCTTGTTTATTTCAAAGAGAATCCACCTTATCGTTGACAACTGACGAAGTTTT